AGAGTCTGTGCTCAGTTTTTTGCAGGACTGCTTCTGTAGTTTGACTTATTTTCTATTAAATAAACAACAACAAGGCATAATATGTGCTTTTGTTTATTTGAGGTTTTATATATATAAAAAAAAAAATTAAGAGCTTTTTTATTTTTTGTATGTCCTGTTATGTAAACCCTCAGAATGGACAGCGTATGTACTCTCTGTTCAGTGGGTGTATTTACTCAGACATATTTACTGTCACAGCTCGACTGTGGAGGCAGGATAAGGGAGTAACTTAGAAACTTTATTTACAAAACCAAGAGAAACAACACACTCCTGCGCAACACAAAAACAAACACACAGTGCCTGGATGGCCCATAAATGTGGCTTTAAACAGGAGGCAATGACACACATTAGAGAAAACAGATGAAAACATGTGTGGCACACTGTACCATTAAACAGTAAAGGAACTTTACTCCACACTGACTCATTTAAAAACACACACTGGTGCCTTTGGGATCATCTGATTGTGATGGCATCAACAAATCAACAATCATGACCCTCTAACCATCCATCAGCTTTGACAGAGATACAGTCGACGCCCAAAGAAGAACCACAAAACCAAATGCACAAGAGGAAGGTCACATCAACAGGAAGCTCCACATTTTATATTTCTGAACATCTTTTTATGTCCTCTGGCTCTTTGCTGTGCTGTAAACACAACCTGCTTTATCCTGGAGTCATAGCAGCAGATTGCTATGTAGCTCCCTCTAGTGGGAACACACATTGTAATGTGTTAACCTAACTGGAAGTTAACTGCTGATGTGATTTGATGCTGCATAAAGAAAAGTGAAATGAATTGTCAGCAAACAATCAAAAACAAAAAAGTAACTGAAAGTAAAACACAGTTAAAAACATCATGAGTTTGGACTTTTCTATCATCCTCTGATCGTCTCTGTGGGTCATTGCATCTGTAAACACCAGAGCTGGAAAAGTTTGAATGACTTCTGATAAAACTTTTCAGGGATTCAGAGTGAGGTCGTGTTTGATGGTTTATGATGGAAAACTAACAAAAAAGAGTTAAACTTTATGATTCTTACAAGTGTGGTGTGTATCGTTAACATATAGAAAGTACATTTAAAATATGATGTCACATTTGACCTCTGACCTCACTTTTACATTTTACATCTGTCTTTCTTTTGCGTTGACCCCAAAATGTGTTAAATCTTTAAAGTATTGTCAGGGGAATGAATGAGTTAGTTATAAATAAATGTTAGTTATAAATATACTGCAGTGCAATATTACATAATAAGTTCAAGTCCATTTATTTACACATACTTATTATCCTACTCTAGTGTAATGTTATATAAAAATACACTATTCTTGCTTAAAAGTAAGCACTGCACAGACAGTGAGCTGCCTGAGGTTTGTGCTCTCAGAGAGCTTCTTGTTCTTTAGTTTTCACTGCTGGTTAAGCCTGACTGTGCCGTCTGTTTCCTGGTTTTCCTCGCCCTCTTTGATCACCTCACTCATGTCAACAGCAGATGTGTCGTCTTCCAGCTGTTCTGATGGTGGCTCTTCTTTTATTTCTTTGGCCTCGGTGTCGTCAGCAGGAGCTCTGCTGCGTTTTTGTTTCATTGTTTTCAGCTCAGTTTCATTCACCTTGGTGTCTAAACACAGAAAGGAAAAGTGTTATACATATACATGTGTTTGTGTGTTTGAATACAGCTTTCCTATTGTAATTTTTATGTGA